GGAAGACGAGAGTAGCGACACGGATCCAGAGCGTGTGAAGGAGATGTGTTTGTGATATACGCTTCGGTCATCGTGCGCTTGGTATCTGATTCTGAGATGTCATCTGAAGCCTTCCGCTTACGACTCTCGGGAGCGGGTGTTTCTGTGGGAGCGGTGCTGACGGGTTGGACGGGCAACGAGGCCTCTGTGGTTTCCGATTCGACTTTCGGTGGAGCTTCTAGCTGCATCTCGACTGCTTTGACCTCCAGTTCTGCAGCGCCTTCCTCTTTGACCTCCGGCTTTGAATCGCTCTCCTTGACCCCGCCAGGGCGGTGATATACCGGCGGGAGGAACCCCTGCGTCCCTGCGTACCTCTTGATCCACGGATACGCGTCGGTGCACTTGTAGCAGATGAAGTGATCAAACTCCTCCTCCTTCGGAAACCCAGGCGGCATCTCCTCGCCCTCTTTCCCATCACGCTCCACACCGACCACACACTCCGGATGCCACCAGTCCTCGCCACACCCGCCCTCCTCAACCGTCCCCAGGCCAAGGCACTGGTACATCGTGCCCTTCTCCTGATGCGCATCGTACTCGCGCCCGCATCCACAGAACTTGTTCCGGAAGTTCTGATTGTACCGATTGGACTCCGCAGGCTTGTCCGTATGAATAAGGCTCTTGCGCCCCGTTGCATCGTCGACGCGCAGGCCGCAAGGCGCGGTAGGCGGCAGCCTCGTTGTCCCGCAGTCGCAGACGAAGTTGCGCTTGTTGAAGAGTTCTACGAGCTCGTGTTCGCCGTGGCAGGAGATGGAGCACGCGTAGCAGACGCCGGCGGGCGTGTAGGGCTCGTCGGGGGTGGAGGGCGGCGGGTTGCAGGTGAGACATGAGAAGAGAAGTTGCCGCAGTGGGCCGAGAGGACGCGTGCAGGTATCAAACTGATACGGGAAGGCTTCGCGGGCTTCGGCCTCCAACTCAAGCTGGCTGTTGATAAACCTGTCCTCGTTAGAAGCTTACGAAAAGCGCACGCATGAGACGTACTCCTGAGCAGTTTGCGAGTTATCGGATGCCTGCGACGCGCTGTTTTTGCGGGCAACACCGTTAGGCGGCAGCATCTCGTTTGCTGAAGGCATGTTTGTTGTAGCTTGGGAGGAGAGAGGGGTGGAATGCAAAGAGTGGCTGAGGATGTTTGGATCGCACTGCGTAGTTGCTCGTCACCGTGTCGCGGTCGCAGTTCTGCCTCGCCGCCTGCTCAGCCGTCAATTAAGCCCCGATTGGGCTAGCGCGACCACACCGCGTTCACGCGCGTTCGCGCGTTTTCTCTCCCCTTCCTCCGCTCGGCGTCTCCCCCCACTATCATCCAATTCGCCATTCACAGCAACAACGCGTTTGGCAAACAAGCAATAGTAGTTCCGCAGTTGGATACAGCGTTAGTACATTTCCCTCCTGCCTAATTCACCTTTACCCGCTTGCAACTGACCGCCCCTCCCCAGCCGCACAGCATGTCTTCCAGCAACGGCGCCGGCCCCTCCAACGCGCGCAAGCGCTCGCGTGAACAAGACGTCCCCTCGTCCTCAGGCCTGCCGCCCTCGAGTCGTAAGTCGGGCTGCGCGTATCCGTGTTGTATCTGTTTCTAAACTCGCAATATAGCCCCCGCCTCGTCTCCCCCACCGCTCTTCCCCACCGTAGAAGAAGATGAGGACGACCTCGACCCCGACGACGAGCTAATGCGCGACATCGACGACCTAGACGAAGAAGCCGAAGAAGGCGACGGCATCGACCTATTCGCCGACAATTTCGAGCGCGACTACCAGCAGCGCGAGGACGATACCTACGGCGGCGATGACATTGACGACGAGGGCGAGTATGAGGATCTTGGCATTGCTGAGCGGCGCGCGCTTGATGCCCGGCTTAACCGTCGCGATGCGCAGCTGCGCCAGCAGATGCCGAATGCGTATCTGCCGGACGAGGATGACGATGCCTTGTTCAATCTGTCAAAGCAGCCGCGGCGCCGGCGCCACCGCTACGACGAGGAGCCCGATGATGTCGACATGGCGGACAACATCATGGACGAGGAGCTCTCCCTCGAGGCATTGCAGGACGTCAAAGCGGCGAGTTTGAACGACTGGATTGCGCTGCCCGCCGTGCACAAGACCATCTTCCGCGAATTCAAGTCCTTCCTCACGGAATACACGGACGAGCACGGCACATCCGTGTACGGCAACCGCATCCGCACCCTCGGCGAAGTTAACGCCGAGTCCCTCGAAGTCTCCTACGACCACCTCGCCGAGTCCAAAGCCATCCTAGCTTACTTCCTCGCCAACGCGCCCTCGGAAATGCTCGAGATCTTCGATCAAGTGGCTATGGACACCACGCTGCTGCATTACCCGGACTACGAGCGCATCCACTCCGAGATCCACGTGCGCATCACCGATCTCCCCGTCCAGTACACGCTGCGCCAGTTGCGGCAAAGCCATCTCAACTGCCTCGTGCGCGTCAGCGGCGTGGTCACGCGTCGCAGCGGCGTCTTCCCGCAGCTCAAGTACGTCAAGTTCGACTGCGGGAAGTGCCACACGACGCTCGGCCCCTTCCCGCAGGACGCGAGCTCCGAAGTCAAGATCTCATTTTGCCCGAATTGTCAGTCTCGCGGGCCCTTCAGCCTCAATGCCGAGCGCACCGTCTACCGCAACTACCAGAAAATAACACTCCAAGAATCGCCGGGCACGGTTCCGGCGGGCCGTCTGCCGCGCCACCGCGAGGTTATTCTACTCTGGGATTTAATCGATAGCTGCAAGCCAGGCGAGGAAGTCGAAATCACAGGCATATACCGGAACAACTACGACCAGCACCTGAACAACAAAAACGGCTTCCCCGTCTTCGCCACCATTCTCGAAGCCAACTACGTCGTCAAATCGCACGACCAACTCGCCGGCTTCAAGATCACGGAAGAAGACGAGAAGGAAATCCGCAAGTTGGCCAAGGACCCGAACATCATCGAGAAGATCATCTCGTCTATCGCACCCAGTATCTACGGCCACGCGGATATCAAAACCGCAGTCGCCCTCTCCCTCTTCGGCGGCGTGAGCAAAGTCACCGAGGGCGACCACCGCATCCGCGGCGACATCAACGTGCTCCTCCTCGGCGACCCCGGGACCGCAAAATCACAAGTCCTCAAATACGTCGAGCAAACTGCGCACCGCGCCGTCTTCGCCACCGGGCAAGGCGCGTCTGCCGTCGGTCTCACAGCCTCCGTTCGGCGCGACCCTATGACCAGCGAATGGACGCTCGAAGGCGGGGCCCTCGTCCTCGCGGACAAAGGCGTCTGCCTAATCGACGAATTCGACAAAATGAACGACCAGGACAGAACCTCCATCCACGAGGCCATGGAACAACAGACTATTTCTATTTCCAAGGCGGGCATTGTGACGACGCTGCAGGCGAGGTGTGCTATTGTCGCGGCTGCGAATCCGATTGGTGGGCGGTATAACTCCACGCTGCCGTTTTCGCAGAATGTGGAGCTGACTGAGCCGATTTTGAGCCGGTTTGATATCCTGTGTGTGGTTAGGGATACCGTGGATCCGGATGAGGATGAGCGGCTCGCACTCTTCGTCGTCAACTCCCACGGCCGTGCTCATCCTGACGCCGAGGCCGCGCAGGCCGCGCCCTTGGTCTCGCAAACCCAGGACCTGACGCAAGCCCAAGAAGCCCCTATCGCGCAGGACTTGCTGCGGAAGTACATCCTGTACGCGCGGGAGCGCGTCCGGCCCAAGCTGTACCAGATCGACCAGGAGAAGGTTGCGCGGCTGTTTGCGGATATGAGGCGTGAATCACTTGCAACAGGGGCTTATCCCATCACCGTTTGTCCCCCTTTTCCACCCCCCTTCCTTGTAAACCGAAGCTAACCCGGCCCTAGATCCGCCACCTGGAAGCCATAATGCGCATCTCCGAATCCTTCTGCAAAATGCGCCTGAGCGAGTACTGCTCCCCCGCGGACATCGACCGCGCCATCGCCGTCGCAGTCGACTCCTTCGTGGGCAGCCAGAAGGTGAGTTGCAAGCGGGCGCTGGCGCGCGCGTTTGCGAAGTACACGCTCAACAAGCCCGGTCGTCGTCCGGCGGGTGCCCGGGGTGGAGAAAGTTCGAGGGGGGGGAGGAGGGTTACTGTTGGCGCTTAGGACGGTATGGTTCACGGTTGACGGTGACGGTTGGCGGTGACGGTGTATGAGGCACGAGAGATGAAGACGGAGGCGGGATACCAGGCGTTATGTGTTTACTATGGTAGCAATGTACTTGTCAACGCCCCTACCCTACATTATCCGTGCCCCCGGTCGCCGCCTGGTGCAGAGCTCCCATCCGCGGCCCGAAGTACAGCGCCTGCATGACGCACAGCACGTCCTGCCACCGGTCCGGCGCGCCGAAGCGGGATACCAGCGCTGTGTGGATGGCGTGGGGGTCGTGGCCTGAGAGTTGGAGGGCGTGGGTTAGGGAGAGCATGGCGGGGGTGAAGGAGGGAGGGGAGGACATGGTTGTGTAGGTATGGTGGAATGGGGTGGGAGGGAGATGGCTTATGAGGTGTGAGATGGGGGATGTGGTGCGCGTTTGGGTAAACGGGTTGTTTGGACCGGCGGTTTGTGGGCTCTTTGACTCCATCGTTCGTTCGGCTTCGCCTCAAACGCCTTCTAGCGTGGACATTCCTGCAAGGCTCTCTCGCCTCACGACGTTCATTGATGCGACTATGTCTACTCAACCGTGGTCGTGTGTGCTAAGAATGATGTCGATACCGAGCAGCATCAGACTCGCCCAAATTCACGCTCGACAACCCCCTCCCACTAGGCCCCAAACAACCACGATGAGCTGCACGTCTCATATTGGCAGCGAAAAGGTTACCCGGCCATGGGTCGAACAGCTCGTGGAATAGATATTGGACGTCGGAGTTAATGTTAGGCGGGCGAAAGGAAGAGCTAGCGGACGACGTACCCACCAAAAACTTTAACATCTGAACTCCGAGGAGCAAAAAGGAAATTCGGTCTGAACCGCGAGTCGAACGCGGGACCTCTTGCATGTTCTAGTCGACCCTAAGCAAGAATCATACCACTAGACCATTCAGACACCGATTTTGATGAATGGTGGAGCGGAATGAAGGATTATAGGGAGAAGGTGCGGATGGGGCAACGGGTACTCTACACATCGTCTCTTCTCCGTCAATGACCGAAGATCAAAGACTCTAAGGCGTTAATACTAACGAAGAATCATGGAAGAGACAGCGAAGACAGCTTCCATTCAGCTCAATCATTGCCCAGAATCCGGCTATAACACGCTCCCAACACTGCTAAGCGTCATCATGTAGCTCCCGCACGAGCGATACCATCATATACTTCTCTCCACCCCTGTTCAACAACATCACTCCAATCCCCATCCTCTTCCTCCTCTTCACTCCCGTCCCCGTCCCCATCCTCCTCCTCGCTCTCGTCCCCGTCCCCTCCCCCCCCTTCGCTCCAGTCCCCGTCCCCATCCCCCTCAATCCTCGGCCATATCCCCGTCGGCCTAAAAAACAGAACCACATGCCCCGGCCTCGCCCACCGTTCCACCGCCCCCTCAAAATCCAGCAGTTCTGCCTCCTCCGCCTGCCGAACCGCCTCCTCATGCCCGCCCTCCTCCCCCCATTCCACTGAAACGGGGAAAACCTCGATACGGCGCGGATGTACCGCACCCCATCTTGGCGCAACCTCCCACTTAACCTCGTCGACGAGATCGGCTAGCAGCGCATCGACATGGATCCACACCGCGAGCGGGAGGTGATCATCCGACACGAAGCAAAGAACACGAACTTCGCCACCGTTCACACCGGGCCGGAGCCACGTCCTCGGGTCAGCATCCTTGTCCTCCGCCTCCTCCCGCCGCGCCCTGTACAGCGCATGCACGTCGCGCAGCCGTTGCCAGACGTCAACCTGGTCCAGGTAGCGAATCTCGGCCCGCTGCACCTCCTCTTGGTTTAGGTCTTCCTGCAGCTTGATATCCAGGTAGTCGTCCAGCAACCTGGCGGACTCCGCCCTAGCACGCTCCTGCTGCTCTTGGAGCAGCTTTTCGAACAGGGGATATCTGTTTTCATCGTACTCCCGGTGTATGAACGCATACTCCAAGGCCTCCGTCAGCACAGTCGCCGGATCCTCGCCGTCCGTTGACGTTTGGGACTCGCCCCTAGCCTCCTTTTGCTGCTCTTGCGCCAGATCTTCGAACCGCGGCGAGTCCAGGCACTGTCTGTCTTCCTCGTATTCCCGGCTTAAGAAATCCTGATTCAAGTCCTCCGCCAGCTCGTTCACCGGGGAATCGTCCGCCAATGTCCGGAAATCCACCCTAGCACGATCCTGCTGCTCTTGGAGCAGCTTTTCGATCCGCTGCGAGTCCAGGGGATGTATGTTTTCCTCGTGCTCCTGGTTCAAGAACATCTGCTCCAAGTCCCCCGCCAGCGCGTTCACCAGGTCCTCGTCCTCGTCCGTCAAGGGTTGGGACTCCTCCCCAGCACTCTGTTCTTGGACCAGATCTTCGAACCGCTGCGAATCCAGACGTTGTCTTTCTTCCTCGTATCTCCGGTTCCTGAACTCCTGACACAAGTCCTTCACCAGGTCGCGCACCAGGGAATTATCCGTCAACGCCCGGGAATCCTCCCTGGCATTCTCCCGCTGCTCTTGGACCGGGCTTTCAAACCGCTGCGAATCCAGCCGCTGTCCATTTTCCTCATACTCCCGGTCCAAGAAATCCCGATACCAGTACTCCGCCAGCCTCATCTCCCGCTCCTCAGCCATCAACGTCGGGGACACCTCCCTAGCATTCTGCTCTCGGACCAGATCTTCAAGCCGCTGCAATTCCAGGCGCTGTCTCTTTTCCTCGTACTTCCGTTGTCGTTCATCCTTAGCATTATTCCGCTGCTCACAGGATAGGCTTTCAAGCATCCGTTGCCGTTTCTCTTCCAGTTGCTGACCTATCTCCTTCCACTTCCGCCAGTTAGGCATCTCTGGTGATATCGCCGTGCCCGGGTCCGACTCTTCTGGAAGCGAGGGCGTGGAGCTGGTAGATCTGGAGGGAGAGAGCGATGGCGGTACTCGTCCCATAGCGTGGTTGGATATCGTCGTGAGATCGGAGCGCGAGTCAATGAATACTCTGTATTCAGCCTTATATAGTGTCCATTGATGCAGGCGAGGGAGCTAGGCTCCGAGGCCATGTCTCTGTCTCACTAGGTGCTTCTGGGTGTCAGCCTTTCTAATAGACGCGCGCTTTGTCATGCAAAGAGACAGAACTCTGAATATTTCCACGGCGCCAACCATGCGATCTCCATGCTACCACTTCGAGAGAATCGGGCGTGATTCCTTTCTTTTCTACTTCACCTTCTTCTCCTGTTTCTCCTCGCGCTTTGAGACAGTATCCCGATACGCCTGTAGCAGCCACTCCCTCTCAAACCACAGTCTTGCCCGTTAGCACACTCGTCAACAGCGGTGAGAGTCACTTACACAAACACGCCAAACACCCCCGACACACCTCCCACCCTGAGTACCTCCCCAACCAGCCCCAACTCCTTCAGTGCTTGTGGAACCGAGGCATTCAACACCGCAGCCGCAGCAACCGCAACCGCCACACTCTCCCACCGGGGCAAAACCGGTCCAATCTCAAACTCCTGTCCCTATCAGCACCCGCCCCAAACCCACCAACACCAACATAACTCACCATCCCATATCTCCCAAACCACCCCCTCACAAAACCCCCATTAAACCAAATCCTCCCCCCCATATTCACACAATTCGCCCACACCAGCCCTACCGCCCCCAGTCCAAGCTCCCCCATAAGCACCCACGCAGCCCCCGCCCACGCCACGAAAAAAAAACCCATCCACGCGCTTTGTGTGTGGAGCTCGCGCTCGCTCGCCACGGCGGCGACGAAGGCTTCGCTCACGCCGTTGAGCGCGAGGAGCGGGATGTAGAGTGCGTACCGGGCCAGCACGGCGGAGGCGTCGGAGCGTGCCCAGCGTGGGCCGGCGACGAGGTGCAGGAGGAGGGGGGCGAGGGAGGGACCGAGCGAGATGGCGGGCAGGGCGAGGAGGGTGTAGAAGCGGAGGTAGAAGGTTAGGGTTGAGGCGGCGGCGTGGAGGCCGGATTTACTGGGCTCCCCACCTACCTGCCCACCCGCCCCCTGCGGGGCGCAGTTCCGGGCGAAGAGGGCGCGGGAGGATTCTTCGATGGGTTGGAAGAGGAGACGCGCGATTAGGGAGCCGTAGTTTGAGGCGAGGGCGTAGGAGCCTTGGGCGGGGAGGGAGAGGAGGGAGGCGATTAGGAGGCCGTCACCTTGGGTTAGGATGTATTTGAGGGTGTTCTGGAGGGAGAGGGATAGGCTTAGAGAGAGGAGGGGGCGGTTGAAGAAGAGGAGGATGGGGTTGGTGCTGGGAGGGTTAGATGTGTTTTGTACAGGGTTGAAGGCTTACGCTGGGTCGAGGACGGTGGGGAGGAGTGAGGCCTGATCTCGCTTTACGTGAGGATATGTACGCAGCGTATACACACCCAGCAGCACGATGGAATAGCCCAGCTGCCCCAGAGCAAATGGCATGACGCCAATATCAACGCCCGTCTTGCTGGCCCAAATGCCCACTCCGCACGTGACCACGCATCTAGTCAAGTTCGCCGCCGTCTCCGCCGACGCGCGCAAGCCGTAGAGAAACCGCTGCTGGGCAGCTACAAAAGCCGGCTCGGAGAGCAGTTCGATGACGCAGGCACCGGCATAGATGTTAAGCGCATCGAGGAAATACGGCACAGGGGGGACGCCAGCGCGGCGATACAGCGCCGCAACACCCACGACGAGCAGACATCCGAGCCCGACGGAAAGGCACGCGAGGTTGACGATGGCCTTGGTGGACTCGGAGAGGCGGGTGACGGCGACGCGGAGGCTTTCGCGCGCGAAGTAGAGGACGGTGATGGCGTAAAGGTCGAGCTGCGTGGCTGCGGCGAGGAGGGATGGCGAGAGGTAACGGAGGAGGATTTGGTTGACGGCGAAGGTGAAGGCACGAGAGGCGATTTGGAGGAGGATTAGAGTTGTGGCGCCGCTGGTGGGCGGGGGTGTGGTCATGGTGTGGAAGGCATGGGCGAGTGGCTCTTTGGAGGTTCACGAAGTCGGATGTACCTACGTCGCGTCAATGCTTGCTATTACTACGCCAATCACAATTATGAATGTTTTTTTGTTTTTTTCAGGTGCTAGCACCAATCGCTGAAGTGATGTGGTTAGTGGTCGGGTTGTCTTTGGAGAGGCTCGAACCAGAAGAACCCAGTTGAGGGCGCGGGTCCTGAGGGAGCGCGTTCGAACCTCGCTGGCAGCACTCGGAGAGCGATGTCTTTGAGATTTCGTTCACGAGCAAAGATTTGTACACCATCCAAGAAGGAGATGGCAGTTGTAAAATCCCGAAAGGGGTTTTCATAGATCTGGCAAGTAAAGATTCTTGTCACAGTTGAGGTCTTTGCTCTTTGAAGCATTTTTTGTCCGCATCGCGGCAGCGGTGAGGATCCCGAAGTGACTCGTGGAAGAAGCGCCTCATCGAACCATTTTTAACTTAACTTTCTCTGAAGCACCTCTTCCGGGCAACAATTCAATTCACGCATCTCACGCATCTCACGCATCTCATCGCTCTTAAACGCTTGTTTTTGAACCGCGGAGGTTCACCTACGGCGGGAAATAAGCAGTACTTTGCATTACGCTTTTGCTTGCCTTTTACCGAGATTCTGAACTGGCATCGCATTTGGATCGGCTCGCATCCAATATCGCAGACCACATACGTAGTTCTAGTCAGTTGAAGAAACTCTTACTGTTCTGCAATTGCATCTAACACATCCACCAGAACTAAAAGCCTTCATCTGACCCCCCGTTCGGCTTAAGAATAAAACACAGTATCAACCAACTGCTGGCCCCTAAGCCCAAACTGGCGCAGGTAATTTCGTGGTCGTCACGAAACAGGAAGATTCCACCCAGTCGAGGGACGGTTCAGAGAGAACGCGTTCGAAGCTCGCTGGCAGGACTCGTCGACAGGAAACTAGTCTTCCGTGACGACGGAACGGAGTAGTCGCTCCTCCGTGACG